GTGGCAGTGTCTGAGCTCGGGGTCAATCCGTCAGTCTAACCAAAAAGGAAGGTGAAGGATAAGACATTTGCCCCCTGAGTTTGAGAATATTGCTTAGACGTGTACGCCTAATCATGTCCAAGTCAAACAGAATATTCTGGTGGCTGACACCAATGTAGCCTCAGGCAACACTTAAGCCAGGGATATCCAAGGTTGCGATCTATTGAAACCAATCAACCTGAAAAGTGACACACCGTCTCTCTCACGCCCTTTTTCGCATTCGAATGATACCACAAATCAATCCCAACCCCCAGCGCGGACATACCTCTCCCACGGACGGCAGCCCCGGCTTCTGGAATCCCTCAGGGTTCCACATGGCCAGCATTCCAGGGCAGTGGGGGATGGCACGGTTGTCTCTTGATGCGGTGAGGAGCTGAAACCCGCCAAAGACAAAGACAAAACAAAATAATCCTTGAAAGACGAGGAATGTCGGAAGCGCGGGCGCCCCAACTAAATAGTCATCTTCAATATCGACTCTCATCACACGGTCAGAGACATTATGCATGTAAGCGGTGAGGGTCGAATGCCAAGGCGTTCATGTGCTGCATCCGGGGCATCTGGCATTCCTCGCTTGTTTTCTTCTTTCTTCTTTCTCTTCTGCTGAGATCCTCTGGAATGTCAGAGTTGCATACGATCGTGACAGCGAGAGTCTATACTACTGTTTCGCTGTCTCGCCCCCACTGATGCATAAAGTTAAGCTTGGAGTCTCAACCATGGCTGAAAGGCCTAATCCAGAGCCTCGTTGCCCGTTGCCTCCATTCCCACAGTGGAATGGACATATGTTCATGCAGTCTTACTTTCCTAGATAGGTTTGCAAGTGATCTGTTCGCTTGACGGGGCTCCACTCTTCGGATTTCCGCGTGGTGCGCAGTCCGTACAGCCTTGAATAGAATAAGACATAAGTATTAATATATTAATATGTTAAGGATCCTTGTTAAGTATCGACGTCAGAACGGTTCAAATTAATTTCAATGGCAAAACTCTGCGTTTAATTAGAGTCGACCCTTGCCTCGCCCTCGAATCGGTCCCATTTTAACTATATGCCTACCCGCTTTCAGACAATACAACCTTGCACTTACATACTTGTTCAAACCCCGCGATACTTCTTCTTAAAAGTTCGGGGGCTTTACTTTTCAAGTGGTAAATTGGAACATTATCTACGAAGGCAATTTGAGGCTCAGCGGCGCAGATCGGTTAGCTTACTAATGGTCTAGATTGATTGCATCGCTATATACACTGTTCAACTGTATATTCATTTGTTCGGTGATTTAACCAGCAAAGTGGTCGTATGTGCGTTGGGAGGACTTCGAATTGAATTGCTATCGCCTTAGATTCACCCACATATCAACTACTTCCTCTCCAAGACATGGTCTAATCGGAGAAAAGAAGGAGGGAAAAGGCGATATCAACATGCCCGCTTTGAGATCGAGTCATGGCTATGCCGGTCATATGCTACAACGTGATTCCATTGCACACAAGAAGCGGAACTCAAGGGTATCAATACACCCAACCCTCAATGAGAGGGAAACTGGACGCATGTCACCAAGAAACGACCAACCTGTGCCTAAGTCCAGTCGAAAGACCAAGCCGGCACAATCAGCTGCCAACAGCGCACCGCCTGAGATTTTGCTGGACATCTTCCTCATGCTGGCGCCCCGGGACTTCGACAATGCCAGACGAACATGCTCGCAATGGATGCGAGTCAGTCTAAACGACAAGCTACTCGAAACCATGCTAAGAAGAGCAGGGTGGTGGGATGCATGGCTACAAGACCGTCAAAAGAAGCGTATCTCCACTCGCTCAGATGAGAGCGAGGCCTGGAGAATGAGCCGCCGCTTTGCCACAGAGTGTCTTCTCTCCGGACGAAGATTCAACATCGCGAAGCCTGGCTTCCTGTCAACGGCCACAGTTGACTTTTCTGGTCTTTCAGACAATTCACCCCGCAAGACTCGAGGGAGTCGGCTTCAGCCGGTGCTCAAGGAGAGCAAGGGTCTTTCCACGTTTAGTGTTAGCAGTTGCAGCAATTATCTGCTTGTCACCAACGGCTGCATGATCTATGTCTATCATCTTTTGGGTCGGAAATGTCAATCAGCATCTCCAACTGATATGTCTGATGTCTCCTTGGCTCCCATTTCACGCATTTCATGTCCATTCGAGGTTTTATCAGCTACCATCGACACCAGCACGCCTCGCTTCACTGTTGCCGCTCTGCTGAGCAATCGAGTTGGTATGATCTGTGACTTGGATATGGCCTTCTCCGAAGAACCAAGCACGAAGACTCGTGCCAACAGCATTTCAGCTGTACAAGATGCACACGAGCAACCAACATCACAGCTCCTTCGAATGCCAACAGCAGACTCAACATCTCGTCACTTCTTCTACAACGTCTGCACACCCGACGCCCCTCCACGAACAATAGCATTATGTCCCGGCCGACGTCTCGTCGGCTTCGGCTGCGCAGCCGGCGTAGAGATCCACAGCGTGAACGAACCAAGAAGAAACGAACAAAGAAAACACTTTCCAATGCCCCAACCCTCCGAAATCCTCCACTTCCTCCCAAGCTCCCCAGAAACACCCAACGAACTCCGCCTGATCTCCTCCCTCACCGGACCAGGTTTCCACGAATGCAAATGTCCCCCATCACCAACACCCTCCCTTCAATCCCCAACCCTCTCCCCAGCCCCCCAAGCAAAGAACCAATTTCACTTCCTAGCCGACGTCCAATCCTTTAGCCGCCGCAGAATCCCCCACACCCCGTCCAGAAGCTTCGTCCGCGCAACCCACTGCCACCATTACCGCGCGGTGCCTATAAATGACGGCTTCCACATAATGTTCATAGAACCCCGAACAAGCCTTCTCTGCATCGGCTCTTCAACCCCAATCGGCGGCCCAACAAGCCTCACACGCGCCTTCATCTGCATACCCCCATTCGCAAATCCAACTCCAGCAAAAGACCCACCAATCCCAACCATCTTCGCCGCAGGCTCAGATCTAAGCTGGGGTCTGCGCGTTGTAGCCGCATATGGGAACCGCATCGTGCTCTATTCCATCCCGCTGGATGTATACAACGTCATCCACAAAGAACGCGAGCGCCAAGGTGACGGTGTTATGGGGGACAGTGACCTGGCCCGGGATTGGTATGCTGATGCAGACCGATCCCCGAAACGGCGGGACAGTCTTGCTCAGAATCAGAGTGGGGATTGGGAGTATTTGCTAAGTGTTTCTTATCGGCCTACTGCTATGATGTGGCCGTTTAAGATCTATGGAAAGGAGATTGGGACTGTTGATCGGCTTGTTGAGCTTTCTTTGCAGTCTTCTGAGGGGGGTGTGAGGGTTTGGGCTTTTGGGGGGGATGGGCGGGCGACCGTTTTTGATATTGATACGTTTACATCTGGGGGTTTCGGGCCTGGCTCCGTTCCTGTTTCTGCTTTGAAGATTGGGGCTGATGGGGGTGTTGAGAGTTTTAAGAAGGTTGAGAGAGTTGGACTGGGGTCTTCGCGGAAGAGGAAGGCCGAGGTTTTGGGGGATGGGTTTGCTGGTCGGTATGGCGCTGGTCGTCATTCGGCGGTTGTTGATGGGTTGGGCTTGATTAAGCCTTGCGCTGCTGGTGTGCATGGTGTGCAGCAGGATCCATCTGTTCGTCGTACTTCTTTCGCGGCTTGTATATTGGATTTCAAGATTCCTGAGTTGGGGATCTAGGTGGACTTTTCTGTTTTGATATCCTATGTTGTTTTTGTCTTGATATTTGGAGGATGCTATTATATTTCATTGCTGCATATATACCACATTAGTACAGAACATGGATATGACTTTCAAGCTTTTTCTTGTTACATCTGGGATCTCTTTCCTATAGACGAGGAGTATTCGATAGTGGCTAGTACAGCAGTACTGAAAACTAGATCTATAGAAATCGCTGGTAACTTCCGATTGAGTGGAATTCTTGAAAAGGATGCCATTCTCTATCCCCTTGTTTACCTCCTCTAGAAACTCGCTTTCTCTTGGCCTTTTTTCTCTTCGCTAGCAGTCTTTGAGCCTTGTAACTTTAACCTCACTTTTACCTCAGCTCAACTTCCTCTACCTCTACTTCTACCTCTTCATCCTACTCCTTTCATTCTACTTTTTATCCTACTCTATCACCTTGCCTTCAGACAACAGATCAGGTGCTTGACATTATGTTTCGAGTACGTCAACATTAACCGCATTCTAAATGGCTTCAATCAAGCCAACCTACTAATATCTCTGCAAGCTCAAGCCAATAAGACCTCCGCCATATGATCATACCGCACTACGTCTCGCCGCACTGAAAGAGTTCTCAGACGCCATTGATATCTATTCAGGACACGCTGAAGACCTATCCCCTTCTTCGGTCGTTTGTCATATCCACATATTACGGCCTAACCTGTATATACTGGAAGCTTGTGTTCTTCCCTGGCATCCTTGAATGGGTAAAGAAAAGGCTCGATGATGAGAACCACTCAAAAGACCATAATATGTATGTGAAATCCGCCATTGGCACTGTTTCTTTTCACCCAAGTCCCAGCTTTGCAATCACCGCCCCAATGGCTCGAGTCCTCTGTCCTCAGATAGATTCCCTAACCTGGCTTCTAATATAGGTCTATCTATTGATTCCCCTTTTTCCGAAAGACAATCACAAGTTGAGCTTGATTGGGGTGCTTATCGGACTGTCATTGCAGCCCTCGGCGGTCGAGAGGCCTTCATCCATATGATGCTTTGTCACTCTATATCTTCTGGTAGCTTGTGTCCGGTGTGCTCTCCCATAACCAAACATCTAGTTCTTCAAACAATTATCACTCCTCTTGTGAGTCATGATACAAACGAATAAACATGGATAATTTAGAAATAAAGTGCAGGAGCAGAGAACGAAGAAAACTTTTGATCCATTATCACACGCTAATAAAAGGCGCTTTTTAAAATCCGAGATATCTCATCCGCATCCAAACTTAGTGCGTCTTCGCGCGACGAGCACGAACACCTTGAGCCAAAACCTCCAATACGGACTCGGTATCCTCCCAGTTAATGCAAGCATCCGTGATACTGACACCGTACTTGAGACCGGCCTTGCCCTCTGCGGGGACCTTCTGGTTGCCTATGAAAGGTTAGTATGGACAATTGCCACGATATTGGAACAGTACTAACCCTCGTTAATGTTACTCTCAATCATGACACCCATAATAGCATCCTCGCCAGCGGCAAGCTGCTCAGCAAGGATAGCAGCAACCTTAGGTTGGTTCTTGTGGTTCTTCTCGGAGTTACCGTGGCTGCAGTCGACCATAAGACGGGGACGCATGCCCTTGGCAATTAGCTTAGCCTTGGCATCGGCAATGCTAGCAGCATCGTAGTTAGGGCCCTTCTTGCCTCCGCGCAGGATGACGAAGCAGTCGGGGTTACCGACAGTGCCGACAATGGAGACGACACCGGGCTTGGTGACGGACAAGAAATGGTGAGGGTGCTTGACAGAGCCAATGGCATCAACTGCAACATCAAGCGAGCCATCGGTACCGTTCTTGAATCCGACGGGGAAGGACAGACCAGACGACAGCTCACGGTGGACCTGGGATTCGGTGGTACGGGCACCGACCGCACCGACGGACAAACAATCGGCCAGGAACTGGGGAGAGATTGTGTCGAGCATTTCGCTGGCGATGGGCATGCCCTTGTTGGTCAGGTCGACGAAGAGCTGGCGGGATATGCGGAGACCCTTGTTGATCTTGAAGCTGTTGTCGATGTCGGGGTCGTTGATCAGGCCCTTCCAGCCGACTGTTGTGCGGGGCTTCTCGAGGTACGAGCGCATCACGATCAGCAGGTCGTCCGCGTACTTTTCCTTCATCTTCATCAGGCGATCGCAGTACTCGAGCGCCATTTCTGGGTCGTGGATCGAGCAGGGTCCGATTACGACCATTAGTCGCTGGCGCTCGGTGTCTGTGCCGTGCACGACGGCTACGGCCTCGTCACGGCCCTTCAGGACGGTTTCCCGCGACTTGTCGGTCAATGCGATCTCATGTTGGAGGAGGTTAGGCGGGGTGAGCGGGTTGTAGCCACGGACTTTACGAGTAGATTAGAATTGTTTCTTGAGGATTGGGAAGTTCAATTGTTCAGGCTTACTTCGAGAGTCTTCCAAGTGGCTGTGGTTACCCACATTAGGGTTGTCAATGAAGAACTGTGTTGGCGACGTCAGAGGGGGGAAAGGGCGATCAATGAGGGGTTGACTCACCGACATGGCGGGAGGGAGAACAACTACGACAGGGAATCAATTGAAGCAATTGAAGAAATTGAGGGAGCAGCTGAGAAGAGAAGAATGGAATTGAGACTAAAATATGAATGAGTCAAAGCGATGAAGTATACTGAACCGATGTCGGTCCACGTGATTCTCGGTGACCGGTGTTGCACTTCCAATCACGGCGGGCCCATTGATAAATGTGGACTGATGTGGATGTGGGCTGTATATATGATGTGCCTAACGATGCGACCACTCGTATCCCTGTGACTGGATAGCCCTGCAGTCCGATCTGAAATACCTCCCCCAGCATCCTCATGGTCCCTGTTGCACCCGACGGTCGAGCTCTTGCAATCCGCGCACCATGTCTTCGCAGATAATAGCATGCTGACCCTTGACATATTGCATTTGCTGATGGTACATCTGCATGCGCACTTCTTGGGCCTTGAACAGGTCATCGAGAATCTGACTGCATCCCTGGCGATATATCTCCAGGACTTGAGTGATAGTGGCCTTTTCTGCAGCGAGTTGGGTTGAGAGGTGCTACGTGTACGGCCCAGTTAGCAATCCAATAGACATTTATTGACGTCCAGCTTACCGAGTTCGTTTCGTGCAGCAAGTCGTGCGCATTCTTCTGTGCCACCCCTAGGGCGGTTATCCATTCCATCGGATCACGCGCTGTTGTGGATGGCTGTGGTTCAATATCTGGCTGAGGCAATTCCGGGACATTGTGAGCCCATGGTCTGTCAATTGGGCCACATTTCTCTGATGCAGTAGCTTTCGCCTTCTTATCGTCAATCGTTCTCTGGGAAGAAGTCGATGCTCGATCCGCGTCCACAGTGTCGGCAGTACCTTCCTGAGGGAGCGATGGCGGATGACTGACTGACATAGGCCGTGGATCGAGTCTCGTCTGCTTCAGTTTCTCAGTTTCAATTCCGTATTCTAAGAACATGTCCCTTTGGAACTTGGTCCACACGAGACTCTCGTATGTATCCTCGGTAGCCAGATCGCAGGAGCTTCGGCTGTATTGACTTAGACTGGTGTCACGCACCCTGATCTCTTCTTTGTGGTTGGGGCCGTCTTCCAAGTCAAGTTGAGGCACATCTGCATTCTTGGTCTGCCTGGGCATGAGTCGGGGGCTACCGTTGCTGTCAACAATGCTGGTCTTTGGTACTGATTTCGGGGGCTTTGGAGACGAATCAAGCTCCATTAGGGCTTCATTGGTTAATAGAGGCTTCTGAGATTCGGGGGTATGAGTATATTCGGGTCCTTGGGCGCTCGCTGTTGTGATCTCTTGAATTTCCGCGGTCATTTCGGCGTTTGAGGCCTCCGATGAGGTGTCTTCCTGGCTCGGGAAGGGGTTAGTGACTTGAGAAGGAGTGTTTGGCAGAGATCTGTTGGGCTGCAGCGCTGCAAATCCGGGCAGATGCTCCATTTCCATGTGGTAGTCGAGGATTGAGGGTTGATCGCCCACCAAGCCTCTGCCGACTTCGAATTCAGAGGAATCATCATGTGTACTGGACAGAGATTCCCAAATCTGGGTCAAGTCAGTCTGTTGCGCGTTTTCTATCTTGGGTTCATGTGACTGGACAATGGACAGCTCGCTGAAAGGATCAAGATTGGCATGGTATTTGCGCTTTTCAACGGGCTTTGTGTCATCTTGGACTCGATCAACCTCCGGAATCCTCATCGGCTCCTCTGCCGGTGAATACGCCGGTGATTGGTCGTCAAGTGGTTCTTCGGTCAGTACTGGCTTGATTGGGACAATGGGAGGTAGAACAGTAAGTGAAACATCCTCTGTGGTTGACTGAGCTTGTGAAGAAACTATTGCTCCATGAAGTGCAAGCATCAGTTTACTGCCGACAGACTTTGCTCTGCCATGCCGTTCCGAATTCTTCTTGTAATGAGGAGCCTTGGCCCTGCAGGTTTGTCTCTTGGGCTGTGCCCTTGCCTGAAGAATGGTGACTTTTGAAGCACTTGGCCGAGACGATCCCAGAATGTCGCCATCTGAACTCGATGCAATGGTTGGTCGCTTACAAACAGCTTTTCCCCTGCTTGCTTGTCTTTGGGATTGTGCCCTATGCTCCATAATACTGACTTTCGAGGTAGTTGCGCGAAACGGTCCTCGGCTTTCATCGATAGAATCAGAGGGTGTCCCAGATGATACTGATGTTCCGCTGGATATGTCAATGGGCTGTTTGCCTTTATTCACATTCGCGATGGGGCCATCTTTCTTGGGTTGCTTTCGATGAGAAGTCTCGGACATTTCCGCGATGTTCTTTGTGACAGAGCCTCTGGTTTCACCGTTTGATATACCCAATCCGACAGATGCCTTGTTGTCTAGAGCTGCAGACACAATGCCGGCCTTGAGAGTAATCAATGGCAATTGGGGTCCCTGGTCGCTGTTGTTCTTAGCAGTGACGCTCTTCCTGGTGTTGGCTTTCCTGCGTTTGGCCGTGGCAGAAGCAGCGGCTTCTTCGTTGCCTTTGGTCTCATTTGGCGTAGGGCGCAAGTCCTCCTCCCAATCGACCTCCAGATCAGTCGAAATGGGCTGTCTTGGCTTGGTGAGTTTCAATCGAGGAACCACTGATCCTGGTTGGGGTAAAGGAGCTTTCAGCTTCTGGCGCCCTGAGGTTCTGCGGTTGTATGCTGCAGTAGCTGGGCTTCTGGTAGTCATTGGGTCTTTTTGGCGCGAGTCTATCAAGCCAGAGCCCACGGAAACAGGGTTCTTGATGGCGTTCATCGTAGATTGACAAATGATGATGATGATGATGGGATGGCAGCACAGGATGAGTTAGACTAGAGAAGCTCAACTCTGGCACCATCACATGATGCTTTCTCAACATTCGATAGTATAATAGTAAAATATGAATAACTGCAGTTCAATTATGTTACTCGGTTTGTTCCTTCAAGATAATTTAGTTCTTATCAGCCAAGACAAATGGGGAAGGTGGCGTGCTCTGGCACAAGCCACTTGGAGCTTCCCCAGGTTTGGAGCCAGGAATATCATCTCCACTGCATCTCTTTAACATCTAACATTCATCTTCTCCCAAATCCTGCAATCCAAAACATCAATTCCTCGGAAGACAGAAGTTCCGAAATCCGTCCAATTTCTCCGCCCTCCGCGATTAATAATCGCCACAATCGGTACTTACGGATCGTGGGGATGGGCGAACGCGGATCAAAACGAAGGACGAAATCGAGCTTTATAAGCCATGCAGGTTTCCTCGCTAACCCCTGACTGACCTACTGGGATCAAAATACAGCCCAGTCACAGGCCCAATATTGCGATATATCCCATCAAAATGACACGCCACCAACTACCACTCCAAGCAGACGAAGCGGTGCGCTCCTCACGCTGCCGATTTAGCGCAATCGCACCCCTAACCCGCCTACGGGCCCTTCTTCCAGGCGCCATCTCCGGGCCCACAGATCCAAATTACAGGTCCAATACCTCCCCCATCCCCGGTATACCCATTGAGCGCCGCAGAGCATCTAGCATCGCCGCCTCCCTCGACCAAGATGAGGGACTCGCAGAGAAGATCACCGAGCACGGCGTCGGCGTGCCAGATACAATTGCCAAGGAAGAAACGGTCCTCTACCTAGCCTACGGCTCAAATCTAGCATCCAAGACCTTCCGCGGTGTCCGCGGTATCAACCCTCTCTCGCAGATGGGTGTCTTCGTCCCAGAACTGCGACTCACGTTCGATCTACCGGGTATACCATATGCAGAACCCTGCTTCGCAGGTACACAATACCGTGACCCATCTACCCCTCCAACCCACGACTTCGATATCCCATTGGAGGATGACGAGACAGACGTTTCGGATAGTGAATACTTATCCGAGAAAGCCGCGCTGATGGGTCGTACACTGGAAGTCGAGGTCAATGGCGCCGGATATCATAAGCGGCGGTGGTACAAACCCCTCGTTGGAGTTGTGTATGAGGTCACATTGGCGGATTATGCGAAAATCATTGCTACCGAGGGAGGTGGGCGTGGATACCGCGACGGCATTATCGACTGCTACCCTTTCCCCGAGGACTACGATCCCTCAGACCCAGTCCCAAATCAGCCGAGTACAACGGCGTTCAAGGCGCGCACGCTTCTCTCGCCTGCTGCTGATGATGCGCGTTTGAAAATGCAGTCATTGAAGAGCGGGGACCCGTCGCTTCTATCTCATGGTCCGAAGTTGTCGTGGTGGTATACGGTGTGTCTGCATTTCCGGCCTGATCCTGATTATGCGCAGCCATCCGCTCGGTATCTTGGGTTGATTAAGACTGGGGCGGAGGAACATGATCTGCCTGAAACGTACCGGGAGTATCTTACTCAGATTCGGACCTATCGGATTACAACTACGCGGCAGAAGATTGGGAAGGGGATCTTTCTTGCGCTGTGGTTGCCGTGGGTTCTTTTGTCTCTGGCTTTGTCGAAGATCTTTGCGGGTTCTGATGGTCGGAGTCCGCAATGGCTCGTTGCTCTGTCCAATGTTCTCTCTTCGGGGATGTGGAATAGCTATGATTGTTTCTTTGCTAAAGTCTTTGGGGATGGTGAACGGACTCTGGATGATATCCCTGCTTGGTGAAGTCAATTGGGATTTTTGGTAGGTCCAATTGGAGAGTGCCGAGGTAGATACTTGCATATAAAGTTCTTGTAGATCAATCTGAAAGAACTACTCACTATACAAGACTGGTCCCATTGCAAAGCAGAACTTACTATACTATATCGAAATGATAGCACGAATCTAGGAGCTTCACAATCATTCATCCATCATAATCACAAAGGAAATTAAATTCAGATGACTCCTCGAAGCACACAGTTTTCGAAAGGAAATGAAAAAAAGAATATATCTAGGATACAGATACAGGTGTTCGGGGAGCGTTCTAACAAAACAGACAGCAACCAATAGATAGACACAAATATGAAGAAAACGAGAGGCCTCTCCGAGACTCCCGTACCAAAGGGATTGTGGTATGGTAATTCCCCAAGTCGTACACGGCCTCGTCAACCTCACGTTTTCCCACTCAAAAAGGGTCCGACATTTAGCGGCGGGGGCCGATGGGAGGGCTGTACACGATCTTTCTGGTCTTGAGAGGGGCCCACTTGTAGCGCTTGACCCAGACGCTAATGGCGAACAGACCAGTCAGGAGGGCGACGGCCTTGACACCCATCTTCTTGCGGTCGTCCATCTCGGGCTCGGCGGCCCAGTTGAGGAACTCGACAACGTCCTTGGCCATCTGGGAGGTGGTGGCGGGGGTGCCATCCTCGTACTCGACGACACCGTCGAAGAGAACACGGGCCATAGCAATACCTATTGAACACTGAGTCAGAAACGCCAAACAGCACGAGCGCATTGATTCGTCACATACCGGTACCGGGGAAGTAGGGGTTGAAGTTCATGCCCTCGGCGACGGAGGCACCAGCGGGAGCCTCATCGGGGTAACCAGTGAGCAAGCTGAAGATGTAGTTGCAGCCACCGTGACGGCCCTTGGTGATCAAGCTGAGGTCGGGAGGAAGAGCACCACCGTTGGCGGCACGGGCGGCCTCCTCGTTGGGGTAGGGGGCGGGGATGTAGTCAGACAGCTTTCCGGGGCGCTTTTCGATCTCGCCCTGGTCATTGGGCTCGGTGTCGTACTCGTTGTCTTCGGCCATGGCCTTCATCTCGTCGACGGTGTGCATGGTACCGACCATAGAGCGCCAGGGGACACGGGTAAGGGAGTGGCAGGAGGCGCAAACTTCACGGTAGACCTGGAAACCACGGCGGAGACTTTGGTTGGTGTTAGTAGGGTGTGCGATGAGAGCAAAAATGTGACATAAGGAGAGGTCACTCACGCGGCGTGATCGAAAGTCTTGTTGAAGCGCTCGTGCACCCAAGGGTACTGAGTGGCATGGAGACTAGAAAGACACAATCGTTAGCTTCAACTGTTGTTGCCGGCCTGATCGCACAATTCTCGGATCGGTGCGCCGGAACCACAAATACGGCGATCCTCCTGATGAATGGAATCACTCACCCCTCCTCAGCGGGTGTCGAGGCGAAGGCCTCCTGGCCATAGAGATGGAAGTACCATGCTGCGGAACCGGCAGCCGCGGCAGTTGCGAGGGAAGCAGTGAGTGTGAGGGAGAAGGGGGAGGCGGCCTCGCCGGCGGCGGTGGAAGCGGCACGCTGTCGAATATTAGCAACGGAAGGCATCGAAGGGCCAATTTAACGTCGAAGGAGCAATTGTCCTCTTCCAGGAAGGCCAATGGGTTGGTGAGGTCGTACCGTGGTCTTCCCGAGGGACTGGCGTGCGGTGGTCCGGTTGGACACGCGCAGAATCGAACGTCCCAGCATGACGAAGTTTAACCCTCCAAGCAATTGAGAATGGATGGGAATAGGTGCTGTATCGCCAAAGCGAGAGAGGGGTGGGTGGGGAGGGGAGGGGGATGAACAGGAGAGAGGTGCTCTTTGGAGGTTGAGGTCGAAGTCGAAGAAACTTGAACTTGATGATTACCCGGTCACTCTGATTGGTCCACGCCGGCGCTAGAAAACCGACTCTCGGAACATCGAAATTGACACTTTCATACTTCGATTGAATTGTATAGAGTTGTCTATTTAGATTATATTCTAGCTGATTGGATTCTCTGTTACATAGCCGTGTTGATTCTGTGTCAATTTGTGCTTCGGGTGCTACCGGGATGCTATACAAAGCTAAACCCGCAAGTTTTATACAGAAACATGACATGCTAGAGGCTCTGCAATGTGTTTTCTGTCTAGTTATACTATAGCTCTAGCTGATATATCGACGGGTTCTGTGTTCCTTGGAACTTTAGTGATATCCCGGGATGTTCCTGAAGCGCACGCAATACTATTCTATAATTGCAATTGCACTATATATATTCTTTTTCAATAATTTAGAAGCTTTAGTATAGTATTTCCATTTCTGTGTCACAAAATAAGCTAGCTGTACAAAAGAATGGGTACTTGGCCACACTATAATTTAGTCTAACCTGGTGTAAATATATAAGTTATATCTTGAGACTAACACAGCCATGACTTTTTTTTGTTTGTTTTTAGCACCAAAGCTCTACTGTCACAACTAGATATAGTATGATTGAGGTTCTTTTGGCCTTTAGTCAACCAGGCTAAATAGCTTACTCGGATCCAGCAGATGCACGCATTCAACCATCCCACGGAGAGGCGGTGTATGTTCTGCCCAGAGAGGCGGCGGCGTTGGACCCTGACTGCGGAGACCGTGCAGCTCTGGAATGTTTCTGATTGCAGAAGATCCGAGTTAGTAGACACGGATATGTCTACTTGAAGCCTAAGCACCTGCTCCAACGGTTTTGTGTTTATTTACTGAGACCGATTGTCTCAAAACAACCCCACGGGATAGTTGGCCCGAAGCCCAGGCCCCAAATTCTGGGCCACCCCAAGAGCACACTCTTTTCCCAATGAAGATACCAAGAACACAAGATGCCAGGTGGAAAGAAAGGACCAAGCGCGGCGGGTCCGCCGCGCAGAGATGTGCTGGCCTCGCTACGCATGGCCTCAATGGAAGACATCTCCCGAGCTGCTCTTCCGGCAGGTACGTGAGATGAGGACATGACATTGGCGATACAAATGCTGATGACAGAACAAACAGAAATCGTGTCTTCTATTCTTGACCACGTCGGTCCCGTCGATTTGATCCGCGCAGCACGGTCCTGCAAGCTTATGCACGAGATGGCGTATGATGACACCCGCTGGGTACACAAACTGAAACGAATCGGATGCTGGGACGAAGTCGACGCCAGAAAACATGCTGAGCGTGTCTTTGGAACAGTCGCTAACAGGCAAGTCGTCGAGCAGCAAGAAGAGGGTGGGGGCAACGGAACGATACCTGCGATTATCATTGAAGACGATGTCAGCAATATGAACAGCCTGTCTGATGGATTTGATAAGATTGAGTTGGTAAATACGACGTCGCAGACTGACATGTTGGAAGGCCTGATGGATGATCCTACCCTGACAGTGCTAAAGCAGGCCAGGTCAATTCGGGGTGAGGCTCGTCAGGAATACGGCAAGATTCATGCTGCATTGTCGCCTTTCTACGAAGACATTGCACGGCGTGGGCCGTCGTCTGATAACCTGGTTTTCACCAAATATAGAGATCCCCAGGCCCAAGCGCAGATTCTAGCGCAATTACTGGCATTTTCTAAATGCGATATGACAGAAGGATGGGATGAGAGGCTGGAAAGTCTGCAGGGTACAATGTCCATGTTTGAGACTGCCGCCTTGAATGAGTTCCGCCAAGGATATGAAACAGACGACATTGATGGGAACATGCGAAAATATGCCCACATCTTGTGGACACTCAATGGAGGACAATCTGCCGTGGACCTCTTCATCCACCATAATCACTTGATGACCCGAAAGTCCGAGCTTGGAAGCGTCTCTGACTGCATTGATGGATTGTCTGGTCATATCAAAATAGAGCACACGCAGGCTTTCTTCACACGCCTCAGTGTTGCTTTCAACGAGCAGATATCCATAATGAACCGCGTCTTCCCCCCATCGTTGGATGTGACATCAGCCTTCATGGAAAAGGTCGGACAAGATGTGCTTTATCCTTTCCTCACAGCCATCTTCGACGAGTTGCACCGTGTCAGTATCGAGTCATATCTGACTGCGATATCAATGACATTCGTTCAGTGCATGAACCTCTCTGAAGCTTTGCTTCCTACAAGAAGCTCCGAAACCAAGTTTGATGAATTTCTTGATAATGTCGTGATCAAGATTTATGAGCCGCATATTGATCTGTATCTGGCAGAAGAGCTGGATTATTTCAAGAAAAACTGCGAGGCCACAGTCTCCGAATGGGACCGGCAGCTCTCTGAACAAGCGGCATCAACCGAGTCCTTTTTGATGTCGAACATCAACCGTCAGGCCGATAAACGAGATTTCCTCACTTCTTTCAAGAAAGTGATCATGATGCCTGTCAATATTCTGCCTAGTTTCTCGAGCGCCAAAACAAACGAAGAGCCGAAACCCGACACAGAAAACAGTGACAGCCCTGTGGCGCCGAAGAGTCCAAATCGGTTCTCGACGATATCATCACCCGCCCCGGTGGTTGTCGAAGAAGTCCCTACCACAGAACTGGCAGCCAAGGCGGCTATCATGAAGTCAAAAATGGAGGGTATCCGCTCATTGTTCAGCATTGAAATTGCTCTTGGCCTTGTTCATTCGGCCAAATCAAGCCTAGAAAGAGCCGCTCAATTTGTACGGCTTGGCGGCGAGTTTGGAGTGGCAGCTAAGCGACAGTGCCAGGCAATCTTTGTGAATTTGCTCCGCATCTTGGGACACCGACACGTCATCGTCGGCTTCGACAAAGCGGTCAGCCATCTCTCCAACTACCGACCCCGCGAACAAGGGGAACGAGACCAATCCGGAGTCGAGCCTCTCGTGACATTCTTGGAGCTGGTCAACGTCGGTGACCTCATCTTGCAGATGATGGATGTATTCTACGAGCAGGAGTTGATCGGCACCAGACTCACCGATCGAAATGACTTCTTAGATCCAGCCGTAAAAGAGAAGAAGAAGTTCGAACAGATGCTCGACGAACGGGTCGCGGCTGGCCTGAACAAGGGTATTGACGTCCTCATGGAAGAAGTGGACTACATCTTGGCAACAAGGCAACTAGCCACCGATTTCAATCCCGGTGTTTCCGCCGACCCACACCGACAGACCATGGACGTCGGCATCAGTGAAGTCGCTGCGGCAGTAGTAGACGTAGTATCATCGCATACGCAGATGCTCGTGGGAAGCACCGACAAGAGCACACTAGACGTGTTCAACCAAGAAGTCGGACTCCGCCTCTTTACAGCTCTTTGTAAACACCTCAAGCGACAGCGCATCAGTGTAGAGGGCTCACTGAAGCTGATCAGGTATGTGCCGCCTCTCTCTTTTACGTCAATAATTAAGCTAACCGGGTTTAGCGACATGAACCACTACTTCAAGTATATCCAGACACTGAAAAACAATGAGCTCCTGCTCTATTTCACGGCGTTCCGTGAACTTGTACAGATTTACCTGGTTGATCCAGGTCACGCCAAAGAACTGGCCACTCTCATCGCTGATGCTGAGCGGTTCCATGGAATCTGGCGCGTGGAGGAGGTTTATGAATTTGCGGAGCGCCGGGCCGATTGGTATCAGGTCAAGAGGGATGTGGAACGAGCCATGTATGGCATTGGGTGCAATGTGATGTAGATGGATTCATACGATACCCAGGGGATTGCATAGCGTATTCGTGCATGTTGGCGTAGCTTACATGAATATATTTACTTCGAATGCGTTGCTTCAAGTTTACAGTTTTATATTCGAACAATATAACAAGGTTAGACAATTAAGTAATTAAATATTCAACAAAAGAGTCAAATAAGTCAAGTTGGCTGCTTTTGGACAATCTGCAGCCCTAAGTAACATCTGACGTCAACCACGGCGGCTGCTGGAACATCGCGCTGCACCTGAAACGACATCCAGACTTTCCGATCCAGTCACTCGGTCAGGTTGCATCAGACACTCATAAGTAGAAATGACTTCAAAAGCCACTCCAGATTTATTTCCCGACCGCAGATCGCAGTTGCAGGTACGCAGTCCGATCCTCCGAGAAGATGTACCTGACGACGTCTAGATATCCACGGTTCTGACATATGCCGAACAATTCGTCATTGAAGTCTCACTAGAGCCCCAACAATTGAACGACGCCCAAGACAATAAGAAAGACAATTATTGTTTCCCATTCACGGCGCTTCGTCACAGCTTAAGACGCCAACCCCAGACTCAGATCCAGATCACAGATCTGCAGCATTCTTTCTATCCCATCTATCCAAAAGCATGCGATAGCAATCCTCAACTTCAAATACAATACCTCAAGGTCCCAAGGGCAAGGCCAATACCCTCACCACAGCAATGTCCCAACCGAAGCCCTTCACTCCAACCCGATGGCTGTCCATCCTCCCACTACTCACTCTCCTCTCAATACCAATCACAAAATCCCAAGAAACAGTCTGGGTAACAGTCCTAGCAACAGAGACAACACACGCCACACCAACAGCACCAACAGCAGCCTCCTACACCTCCCTCAGCGAGTTCAAGGATACAGTGCTGGAAGTGACGAATGAATACCGCGCCACGCACGATGCAAAGCCACTCTCGTGGAATGATACTCTAGCTGAGTATTCGAAGAAATGGGCGGATGCTTGTATATGGAAGCATTCGGTGCGTTATCCTAACCCCCACCCCCAGAGTACAATAATGTAAATGAGTACCATGCTAATCTTATATCGCAGCGTAGTCCCTATGGCGAGAATCTAGCCTACGGCTATGCAAATGCCTCCGCAGCTGTCATCGCCTGGGGCGACGAAGGAGCCATGTATAACTTTGGTAAACCAACCGGGTTCACAGAGGAAACGGGGCATTTCACACAGCTTGTGTGGAAGGCGACCACGCAGGTAGGGTGTGCAGCTGTGAACTGTGGGTATACGCATGACAAGCGGGATGTTGATGTCAACGTCGATTTTGGCGATGGAAATGGCAATGAGACTGGAGAGTCGGATGAGGACGGCGTTGTTGGGATGAGGGTTGCACCTCGTGGAGAAGGAAAGGGAGATGCGCGCGCTCAGGGGTGGTATGTTGTTTGCGAGTATATGCCCGCTGGCAATGTGGTTGGGGCGCATGATTCTTATTTTAAGAAGAATGTTTTGCCTCAGGTGAGGGATAGGACTTCGTCTACTTCTACGTCGTCGTCTTCGACGACGACTAGCGCGGCTGGGACGTCTCCGTCGGAGAATGCGGCTACTTCTACTACTGTTAGGAGTCAGAATCAACCGACTGGTGGAGGGATCAGGTATGGACTTGACTCGAAGCTGGGGATGATGCTTGTTGCCTTGGGGACTCTGGGGATTGGAATGGGGCTTTATACATGAGAACATATGTTGAAGGAAATACAATGAACTTTGCTAAGAACTGGTTTCGTAGCCATCTCTCATGCTTATCCACATTGCACATTTCATCGGGAGGCGCACCGCTCGATCTATTGAATTTTGGAATGTCCCGATCCTCACTGGGCTTGCCCAGGGAACCTAAAAGAAACACAAGGGGACAGAAGGCTGGGTTCAGGCACAGCGAAACGCCAGCAGCGAAACAGGGGAAAAAGAGGAACAAAAGGAAACACATTATTTGCGAGATTTGAAAAGACGGATTCATTAACCAATGACCTCCTCGGTCTCTTCGATAATCTCTTCCACCATCTCCTCGACCACGGTCTCGCCCTGGTCCTCGACAACCGGGGGAGCGTCGCGGGCGGCCTTGGGTGAGTCGGCATCCTCGGGGAATCCAAAGGCCTCCTTCTCCTCGGCCATGAGCTCCTTCTCGCGACGGAGCCAGGCGACCCACTCGTTGAGCACGCGCTTGCGGGTCTCGACAACGGCGGTGTTGGCGATGTCGACGGCGTACTTGTCCTCTTCGTCGAACTCCTTTGAGTACTCGCGGAGGTTCTTGCGCACTTGCTTCTGCTCCTCCTTGCTGAGGAGAGTGGGGGGGCGCGGGCGCCAGCTGAACTGCTTGAACTTCTCGGTGGGGTTCTCTGAGAGGGTGGTACCGGAGAAGGTGTGCATGTTCCAGCCGTTCTCCATCTATCATATAGTTAGTATGATAGTTTAGATAATGTGAGCAGATAGATCTTACCGAGTGAGTCCAGACACTGGCGCTGGAGACGACGTAACGACCAGTGGAGTCCCAGTCAATGTCGGTAACACCGTAGTGCTCGACGGTCTTCATGAGCTGAAGGTTGGCGGCGAGGTCCTTCTCGGCCTCAACCTTCTCACCCTCGAAGTCCATATCCCAGAAGTCAAGATCGAAGTTGGTCTGGGAGTGGACGGTGGCGACGATAACGAAACGGCCCTTGGGTGACCAGTAGATACCGTTGCTGGTCTTCTTCTCGATAGTCCGTACCAGCTTGAAGTTACCACCGGGGTGGCCCTTCTTCTCGGGGGCGAAGAATGAGACAGAAGTCTTGGGGAGGACGGCAGCACCAGCTGCTGCCTCGCCGTTTGTGATGACAACGAATCGGGATCCATTGGGCTCCCAGGCGAAGTTAATAACGGTATCTTTCAGACTGTCAACAACCTCCACGGGAACACCCTTCTCGCGAACACGGAAAATCTCCAAGTTAGTAGCCATGGACTTCTTTGACTTGGAGTGACGGTCGACCTTGACACAGACGTAGGCACCCTGGGATTGCCAGTGAAGCTTGACGTCGGAAACATTGAACAGGTTACGGGTACGGACAACCTCCTTGGAGGGAACGCTCATCATACCAACACGAGCGGGATTGCTGCCGATCTCAGGAGTCCAGAAGCACATCAATTGTTCGTACTGCTTGATACCCTCGCGGCTGACGGTGGCAGGGGACCACTCAAAGTCCATAACACCCTCGATCTTCACAGATGTGCGGCCGAGGAGATTCATGTTGGGGAGTTCGTAGATGGAGATGGACTGGCCCTGGAGCATACGTGCAACGTACTTCTCGTCGGCGGACCACTTGAACGCGGGCCACTGGACCTTCTTCTTGGGGGCAACATCGCCCTCAACGGCGGCAGGGGCGGCCAAGTCGTGCGAGACAAACGAACGGAGAGGCTTGCCAGTTTCGATATCCCAGACAATGATGTTCTTTCCATCCTCCTCGTAGGTCAGTAGAGGGTGGCCTTCTTCGACCTGAATGGGGCGTGCGGACCACGTCGTCAAGTAGCCCTCAAGTGGCGAGAACTCGATCAACTGAACGTAAGGGTGAGGGAACTGCTTTTGCTTGGAGAAGGAGGCACCACCCCAAAGTTGGACTCCTTGGGGGTGGACGGAGGCAAGGAAGGTTCCCTTAGGGGACCATTGGACGAAAAGTTGGGTCCAGTTAAGGCGATCGACAACGTTCTCTGGTGGGTTGGACTTGTTGTTCCAGAACACACCAACCTTGTCGTTGCGGTACAGGGCAAACTGATCACGGGCGTTGGGATCTCCCATCCACGAGCGCAGGTGCTCCTTCTCCTTGAAAGGTTCCATAACGGGGGGCTGGTACTCCTCATCGATGCGACCTTCGCGACCATAGCGCTCAATATCCATCAACTTGTTCACGGCCAGAGTGTGCTTCTTATCGAGGGGAACGCCGTGGAGTTGCTTGACGGCAGCCACTGCCTGCTCGGGGGTCTCGTATTCGACAAAGGCGAACCTATTTCCAGAGATTAACCAAATGTCTTCCTAATCGTAGATGTTATCCAATACACACCCTTCGGTCATCTTCTTGTCGTTGACGGGCATGAACACGGCATCTTCGGAGGTGTTGCCGACGGAGTTGAGTTTTCTCAAAAGGAACTTGACGAGTTTCTGTCGGCTGTCCTCGGGGACTACTGGGAGGCCATCGATGATAATAAATGTGTCCAGACCCTCCTCGACCTTCACTTCATATTGCGCCTTGAGATCTAGAGGACGCATTAGAGAGGGGCACACAAACACAAAGAAATCTTGCACTCACCGGAGAAATCAATCTCCTCCTCCTCTTCCTCGTGGAGGTCCTGCTCGGACAGTGTATCGAAACTGGGCGCCATGCTGGGTGTACCGGAGGCGTCTATAGTCCAGGAAAAGCTCGGTGGAATCCGTCCTGATGGATTTTCGGGCAGCACAAATCTGGCGGGCGGCCAATTCTTTGTGCGAGCCGGGCTCCATGCCTGACTCAGCTCTGAGTCAGCGCATGCTTAGTCACTTCCCCGGGATCACCTGGGCATCATGATAGTGCTCTACTTGAAGCTGTTTGCGCTCCTCTAATATTGCTCTCTCTTTGTTTGACCATATCTTCGTGCACTGCCTCTATAAGATATTTTTCCCTACCGTCTATTTTGGCTTTCATTTGTGTTGGTATGATTCAATGCCCCGCTGGTCCTAAGCGCCAGTGCGACTCGAGTATAGCCCACCTGACAACTCCGATCGGCAACAGCTCTCCCTCGACCACCATATTGTCCTACGCATTTAGTGAAGCTCTCAATTGCACGCCGCGGCTCTCACAGTTTACATTTCTACCTGCCATATTATCTTCGTGATCCACTACAAGATGCCGTGTAAGTTAACGGCCTCGGCGTTGCCCCGGTGCCAACTACCGATTCTTCGAAGGACCTCCGAACTGACCCGTCAATATGCGCAATAGTATCATCCGAAATGCGCGACAAATATACCGAAATTATTGACACGATCTTGGCCGAGAGTGATCTCAACACCATCTCTGAGAAGCGGATTCGCAAAGGTCTCCAGGAAGCCGTCGGCTATGATCTCACTCCGCAGAAGGTCGGTCAATCGCCGTGATATGTTACGCCAAGGTGTCTTTTGTGTTGTTGGCGATTTGTGGTAAAGCAGTGTTACTAACATCTGCAAAGACGGAGATCAAGCAGCTCATCATGGAACGGTTCGACCGATTCGCCGAGCAGAATGGTGTCGGGTCGCCCGAGGAAACTACTACAAGCAATGGCCAGCGCGATGGCGATTCAGCTTCTGCTGCAGTGCCATCCCCGCCTCCTTCGTCCTCCTCCGTGAAGCGCCAAGCTTCCAGCGACGTCACTTCCGAGCCCGCCAGCGCATCGCCGCCAGCTAAGAAACACAAATCCGATGATGTTGATGCGGATGCGATGTTCGCAGCAAGGCTCCAAGCTGAGGAGAACTCGCGCGCGCGACCAACTCGGGGAGGAAACTCACGACGGGCGGCTGCTCCTAAGAAGAAGACCAAGAAGGCAAAGACATCAACCCGGGTCAGGGCAGAGGATGATTCAGATATTGGCTCAGGCTCAGAGACCAAGGAGAAGAAGGAAGTAAACCGGAATACTGGATTCCATGTATGTATCGGCCTCATCTTTCTAGCGCTACCCGGCAGTACTGACACACCCATAGAAACCCTTGAACCTTTCCGAACCTCTCTCTGCGCTTCTGGGAGAAATCACAGTGTGTTAAGCCGATCTTTCCGTTATGCTTGCCTTGCTAATATAAACTCAGCTTTCGCGGCCGCAAACCGTCAAAAAGGTCTGGCAGTACATTCGTGAGAACGAGCTCCAAGATCCCAGTGACCGTCGCCAAATTCGATGCGATGATGCCATGCGTGCTGTCTTCAAACAGGACCGAGTCCATATGTTTACCATGACCAAAATTCTGAACCAGAATCTGTACAATCCCGACGAATAGTCACTTGTGAGAGATGACTTTGATCATGGAAGAACAGGCTCCAACCCAAGTCCTGTCTCATAACGATTCTCCTTGGTTTATCATTCTTTTTGCAATGCATGTGGATGCTGGCGCGAATCCTTTTTTTTTTTTTTTTTNTTTTAGCAATATTTTAGCAATTTTCAGTCGCCATTTATGTTATTTGACTTGACTGTGCTCTCCAGCGGGTGTCGGTGTAGCTTTTCACAGATGAATTTATAGTCTCGAGGGTCCTCGCCCTCGGTCATTGATCCTTAGCCCCATAGATTTGCATCCTTAAGATGTATCTTATATTAACCCCCGATTGGGTATGAAGTGAAGCTCTATAAATTTGGGAGTTGCGAAGCCAGCCAGAAAAAGGGTGTTGTTGGCCAGTACAATATATGCCTGGGCGAAAGCGTGACACTGGTATGAGCATAGCCATGTTTATCTATATTGATTTTTATTGTTTCCACTTAGTCGGAGCGACGCGACTCAGTTTATATGGACCAGCAGGAGTGAGCGTAGGATGCCTCATCCAATGCGGCATGCGGGATCAGTCAGCGACATCACTTTTTTCCAACTCTTACCCCCACCACGGTTCACAACGTCGAGCTCTCCAGCTACAGCGCAATTGACGCCAATCCGCAGCTTCAGTCGTGACTTTTACCCCGGTCCCCGTCTCCGCAATGGCCGACAACCAGCCCACTCCCTCAGAGTCGTCCAGCCATGGCCGCGGCGGTCGTCGCCGTGGCCGCGGAGGGGCAGCTTCCTCCGGCCGAGACTCACAACGGAATGGCGATGGCACAGGGAGAACCCCCAAGCCTCGCACTCGTGGCAGTGGTCGTGGCGCCGCTGAAAGTGGACGTGACCGACAAAATCACAACGCCGACCAGGCGCATAATCATGACACGCAATCCACATCAAAAGCCACGATAAAGGCAAAGAAACCGGTCGTCGCAGCCACCGACGATGCAGACGATGGAGAAATTTGCTTTATTTGCGCCTCTCCCGTCGAACATACCTCCGTCTCGCCTTGCAACCATCGGACCTGTCACATCTGTGCGCTTCGACTGCGGGCACTTTACAAGAACAAGGCTTGCGCTCATTGTCGGGTATGGTCACTCCAAAAGCAAGGTTCCAGGGCGAATATGCAGCGAGTCTTTGAACCTGCTGTTCATATACTGATTCATATAACAGACCGAATCAAATTTCGTGATCTTTACAGATGATCCGGCACGGAGGTTCGAGGAGTTCCAGAAGAAGGACTTTGCCCGGACAGACGAAAACCTAGGTATTCAATATGAGAAGGACGAGATCTTTGAAGATACCGTGCTCTTGTTGCGGTATAACTGCCCCGACGAGGACTGCGATGTGGCTTGTCTGGGCTGGCCAGACCTTCACCGGCACGTAAAGAACAAGCATGGCAAGGCGATGTGGTACGTTAACCTCGCAAGACGATCCAAATCTCGAATCTGCAGCTAATCATGTGGGACAGTGACCTTTGTACCCGGAACAAGAAGGTGTTTACTCATGAGCATGAATTGTTCACGCCGGCCGAATTGCGTAAGCACGAGAAGTCCGGCGACGACAAGCCAGGTGCAATAGACCAGAGTGGCTTCAAGGGACATCCCGAGTGTGGTTTCTGTCGTCAGCGATTCTACGGCGACGACGAGCTTTACACTCATTGTCGTGACAAGCACGAACGTTGCCATATTTGTGACCGACGCTCTTCCCACCGCCAACAACAATACTACGTCGACTACAACGCACTTGAGCATCATTTCCAAAAGGATCATTTCATCTGCTTGGATCAAGAATGCCTGGAAAAGAAGTTTGTTGTATTCGAGTCTCAGATGGACCTGAAGGGTCACCAACTCGAGGCACATCCCAATGGACTATCCAAGGACGTTCGACGAGATGCTAGAATGGTTGATTTGGCTGAGTTTGACAACATGCGCACTCCTTACCAGCAGGGGCGTCAACGCCGTGGTGCTGGCCGAGGCCGTGACCCCAATGCTGAGCCATTGCCTGCTTCCAGTGCTCAGCCAATGACCAGGGCTGAAATTGCATACCAACGCCAAATGGCCATCCAAAGCTCACAATCCGTTTCAACCCGAAACTTTGGTGGTCAGCTCACCCGGGAGGATACTCAGCCTGTGCGTGCACCTGAGCGATCCGCTGCTGCGACTCCCGTGCAAGCTCCTCCTGCGTCACGCTCTACTCCTCTCCCTACTGCCCAAATTGAAAGCCTCAACATCTCTGCTACCCCAGCGCCGGCCGGGTCACTGGATGAAACGCGCCGCCTGCGCCACGGGGCCGTGATTGAGCGTGCCTCCAACCTACTCCGCAACGATGCTACCAAGATGGGCGAGTTCCGTCAAAGAGTCTCAAACTACCGTTCTTCTTCCATTTCAGCAACGGAGCTTATCGATGCGTTCTTTTCATTGTTTGACACATCCAGCACAGAGCTTGGCAAACTCATCAAGGAACTAGCCGATATTTACGAGGATGAGTCCAAGCGCTCCGGGCTCCTTCGAGCCTGGAACGACTGGCGCGCCATTAACGAGGACTATCCGGCTCTTCCAGGTCCTGGCGGTCTTCTCCCTGGCATGTCACCGGCCACCGTCAACACTGGCGGCAAGCGAGTCCTGCGCCTGAAGTCATCCACCGCCCAATCCTCCCGCTCCGCCGTGGGCCGCAGCGGTGCCCTCCCAACCGCTCCCTCCAACCCCTTCCCCCCTCTTTCCGCCGCGGCTGGGTCCTCTTCTCGCCGCTCCCAGGCATCTTCAGCTACCCCCTGGGCTGCAGCCGCACCCGCGCCTTCATTCTCACGTCCTGCCATGCCGAGTCCGATCAGTCGCTCGTCCTCCACTACACCCTCTTCCAGCCGTGCTCCTGTTTCTGCTCCTGCTCCTCGTGGTGATGCCTTCCCATCTCTCCCACCTGCAGCAAAGCCAAACGTCCTCATGGCCGGCAAGACCCGTGGCACAGTCCGCTGGAACGACAACCGCGGTCCCGCCCCGAACGCATGGGGCTCGGCCAACAGCTCTGGCACTGCCTCTCCCGCTGAACCTAACCTTGATCAGGAGTCAAGTGCCGGCGGCAAGAAGGGCAAGAAGAACAAGGGAAAGCAGACCTTGTTCCATTTTGGTTAAGTCGCATCAATTTCTTTCAAAGAGACATATGGCTTTGCTCTGATATGTCTCAGCGATGATGGTATTGTGAGAGCGCAATTTGTAAGCGTACATATCTCATGTCAAAAGATTTGTTGGGGTTTTTTTTCTTGTTGTACCTAGCGACTGCAGATACAATTTTGTATAGAAATAATTTTTGTTTCTTTTATGTGTTAAAGTATTATACTTGTGGCAAAGGAGCAGGCTTTCCTGCTCTTTGAAGTACTTTGGTTTAGATGTTTCCATATTCATCCACCACACAAAGATAGTACGCCTCCTTAGTCTTGATCGTATATCTATACGTTGCAATTGATTCAAAGAGAGGTACGTATGTGATAAGCTCATTGATGTTTACTCTATGATATATGAGAATCAAAACACACTTCCATAAACCATTTCCACCTTTATCGGTCATTATAAAGTACAAGAGTAAGATCTACAAAATGGGAATACATAGGGGGTTGATCAACTCACTATAGAAACTAACTGAAGTGCGTTGAAACAAGCACGACACTATCATTGTCATTGTCAGTGACAGGATCAGACTCGGAACAAATTTCAGACCCAGAATCGATAACAATGGGTTCAGAGGCATGAGTATCCTCCGTTTCATCGCGATCTTCACTGAAGCCTGACACCTGGGCTTGACCGGTATGAGCCGAAACATCGGAAACATGCTCAGCAAGAGCATCAGCATCAGCCACACTTTCGTTATCAGGGTACAGCCCCATCTCTTGGTTAATAACAGCCATGTGCATGACAAAATCATCTTGAAGTTTGATCAGCACAGAGCGAAGAGCGCCATCGTTCATAGTGCCATTACGAGCAAGAAACAGCTGTTCCCACAGTGAAAGAAGCAATTTCCGTTTCTGGGCAATGGCCACAGCACGCGATGAACTATTTCGGCGCAGGGCGAGCTGATCTACCGCCTCTGAGACGGACTGTGCTTTCTCCAGAACAGCAGGTGGGAGGTCAGTGAGCTTAGCTAGGACGAGACCGTATCGACGATCTGGGAAGGGGCCTTCGGCGATACGATACTGCATAGTCATTTTGGTGGCACCAGGGGCGATGTCCGCTGCTAGATGGAGATTTATGACACCGCTGCGGTCGGCGAGGATCTGTGCCAGATCGTGGAAGTGTGTGGCGAACCAGACTAGGGCATTGCTTGAGATCAGGGCTTCAGATATGGCGACTGCGATGGCGAGTCCGTCTGTCGTGCTGGTTCCTCTGCCTAGTTCGTCGATTATTACCATGCTTCGCGGCTGGATGTTTCGCAGGATAAATGCCATTTCACGCATCTCTGCTGCGAATGTGGAGACATTTGCGTCTAGATCGTCTGAAGTTGCGACGCGGGCGAAGAGTCGGTGGGAGATTGGGAATGAGGCGTATTGCGCGGGTACGAAACAACCAATCTGGGCCATGATTGTCGTTAGAGCTAGAAAACGGATGTAAGTGGATTTGCCGCCCATGTTGCAGCCTGTGACGATCTGGAAACGGGTTTGTGGGGTTGCATATGCGTCATTCGGTATGAATTTGCTTGGATGAATCTGTTCTCGGATTGGGTGACGTCCTGCTTTGATGGCGAGGGTGTCTGTTAGCTCTGGTCTGATGTATTCGTGGCTGGTTGCCAGTTGGGCAAATGATGCTAGCATGTCTAGCATTGCTATTGCTTCGCTGACTCGGAAGAGTCCGGACACTTGGTCGCAAATGTCGCGTAGGAGATCCTGAATCGTGCGCTCGCTCATGTTAATCACTTCACTGTGGGCATCAGTGATCTTCTGGTTGAGTTTGACCAAGTCCAGTGTCTGGCACTCAATGCGATTTCGCTTGCGATAAACGTTGATGAAGACATCGGGTAGGGGACCAGGCTCTGCCGCAGGGATGCAGATGTAGTATTGACGGGCCGTGTCATACTTCAAATCCAGAACAATGTCACAGTTGTCTGCGTTTTGTTAGGACGGTCCATGAACTGACACATCTTCAAGTTACCTGACAAGTTCTTGATGAGCTCGGTGGCATCTGCATTTGCCTCCTTGTAGGTCTGTCTGGCTACGTCGAGGAGACTATTGACACCGGCCTAGAGAATGTCAGCTGCGTGGAGCCATTCCAAATCCACATGAGGTTTGACCTTGACACAGTAAATGCGCTGGTTTCTCAGATCAAGTGGCTTCGTTTGGTAAGTGACATGATCATTCAACGTTGTTTCCATGAGCTCCTCAATCGCACGATGTCCCTCAGGGGCGCACAACTAAAAGACGTTAGCGAGAGCTCAACACCATCAGAAATATTGTAATACTTCGCGTATGGTAAGCAATAAATCGCTCTGTGCTGTTGCAAGCGCTTGAAAGATGTTCTTGATTGCCGAAACATAAGTTTTGAGCATGATAACATAGTTGACAGACTGTTCGACGTATTGGATTGTCCGCTTGGTGGGAACCAGGATGATCTTGATTCTGTCAACCCCTATCCCAGACATGGAGTTCGGAACCTACCGCAGTCAAAACTTTGTCTGCATCGATGAAACCCTTGAGAGCCTGTCTCACAGAGACAAACATATCTTCTTTGGTCGACAAATCTTCCACGGCGTTGTACCTGGCTGTCAGTTTGACTCGTTCAGTTGAAGGTTGCAAAATGCTAGCTCGGAGCAGCCTTGCCCCCATAGGTGTTAGTGTCTCATTCAACAGCCCATACAAGCTTTCTCGCGATTTCGCATTCTGCAGGTTCTGGATGAGCTCGAGGGACACGATAGTCGCCAAGTCAATAGTCATCGACCCCTGGGATGGTTCGAATCGGATGCGTAGTGAATGCAATGTGAAGGACCGCTGGAGTTCAATCTCGACATACTTAAGAACCTAGGTTCTACATTAGTAGCTCCCTCAGGTAGCATGGGAGCAGTCCTACTGCGGCAAAGCAGCACGCTGCGAAATAGTTCCCACCCAGGGTCACCTTGAGCGAATTGACATCTTCTGGAAAGGCCAATCGGTCCACATACTCATGGCCCGTCTTCTCAGACCAGCATCGGCGGTCTAGGAAAGTGAAGATTGGGTCGGGTAAGTTTTCTTGGATGATATATCGAAGCTTGGACTCTTTGGCAGTGTTCATGAAAAGGATCTCGCTGGGTTCGAAAACACCGATCTTGATAATTGTATTGACATAGGTTTGACTATCACATATCTGACAGAGAACTGCTTCAGCTGTCGCAAGATTGACAAATGCGAGACCAACAGTCGATGAGACGCCCCGCGATTCACTGACGGCGCAGATGAGGTCCTGGGAAGCAACGCTGGTGGTTGTGGTAGTTGGTCTTCCTGCCCCTGGACGTCTGCTACCAGCTCTGGAAGTTGGAGCAAAAGAATCCAGCGACAGCCGTGAGTCCGAATAGACCGACATGGTGAAGCTGGAGTAGTTGAAGTGGAGAAGCGATAAGTTACGCGATAAGATAAAAGATATTTTCCCTCAAAATTTCTCTCCTCAGCAAAACCCAAACGACAAAATGGCCACTCTCTATCCTCCGCCCAGCAAGCGCCAAAAGGTTGCTCAGGCTGAGAAGGCTCGTGAGCAGCAAGAGATTCAGGGTATTCCGTCCGACTTGGGCAGTGTTCGTGTGCAATTCTACGACCAAGCAACCGGAAATGCTACCGGGCCTGCGGTTTCCGTCCCAGTCGCCGATGCGAACGTGAAGAACCTCGAGACTCTGTTGAACACATTACAAGGAAATGTAAGAAATGAAAATGGCATTCCGGTCGCAATTGGTTTGTTTCTGACAGAATTTCTAGGATGACGAAGGCCGAGTACCATATCGGTTCACCCACCAGTCCGAAAAAGAAGGCGAGACAATCGACATTCTCTCCGACGTCTACCACTCACTCCTCCAGCCCGGAATCAAGACAACCGAAGATACCGTCTCCCTATACTTCACACCCCAAGCCGTCTTCCGTGTCAGAGCGGTCTCACGATGTGCCGCCTCCATCGCGGGGCACGGCGAAGCCATCTTAGCCACATCCTTCTCCCCAGTCTCATCCTCCACCATGGTTTCCGGCAGCGGAGATTCAACTGCCCGTATTTGGGACTGCGATATGGGAGTCCCGCTACATACCCTTAAGGGCCACACCAGCTGGGTGCTGGCCGTCGCATACTCGCCGAACGGCGCGATGATCGCGACCGGTAGCATGGACAACACCGTTCGTTTCTGGGACTCGAAGAAGGGTCAGGCGCTCGGTGGCCCGCTCAAAGGCCATGCGAAGTGGATCACCAATTTGGCGTGGGAGCCGTACCACGTGCAAGAGTCTGGGCGACCGCGTCTGGCGTCTGCGTCTAAGGACTCGACTGTGCGGGTGTGGGATGTCGTCTCAAGAGTCATTGATCATGTGCTTACTGGCCACAAGTCGTCTGTTACTTGCGTGAAGTGGGGTGGTACTGGCAAGATCTACACTGCGTCCCACGATAAGACTATCAAGATCTGGAACCCCAAGGATGGAACCCTTCTCCAGACTCTGTCCGCGCATGCTCACCGTGTCAACCACCTTGCGCTGTCAACTGACTTTGCTCTCCGCACTGCGTACCACGACCACACTGGCAAGGTTCCCGCGACCGAGGCTGAGAAGGTCGCGGCAGCCCGGAAGAGATTCGAGGAGGCGGCAACAGTGAACAACAAGATTGTCGAGCGCCTGGTGTCGGCCAGTGATGACTTCACCATGTATCTGTGGGAGCCATCTTCTTCTAACAAGCCCGTCGCTCGGATGCTGGGTCACCAGAAGGAGGTAAACCACGTTACCTTCTCCCCAGACATGGCCTACATTGCCTCGGCTGGATTCGACAACCACGTCAAGCTATGGAACGGTCGTGATGGAAAGTGAGTGTCTCCAATCTAGGATATATTTGATGTATGGCTAACCAATCTAGGTTCATCAACACCTTCCGCGGCCACGTGGGAGCCGTCTACCAGTGCTGTTTCTCAGCAGACTCGCGCATGCTGGTTTCGTCGTCCAAGGATACCACCCTTAAGATCTGGAACGTACGTACCGGCAAGCTGGCGATGGATCTGCCTGGTCACAAGGACGAGGTCTTTGCTGTTGACTGGAGTCCGGATGGACAGAAGATCGGCAGTGGAGGTAAAGATAAGGCGATCAAGATCTGGAGAAACTAGATTTAGTCGCTTGACATCAACCTGCCTAACCGTTTTCCACACTCCATCTAGATTGGATGGAAAATGTCTGTCCTGCTCGAGTTATACCGAGGCTACCAACGCGCAGATGCCAACAGTCAAACATACCTCGAGTCAGGGGAGCACTCCGAACTAGAAAGGCGATGCTTTCCGTGAAGTTTGCTTCACATCCCCCGAAGCCCCCATGGTGTCTTCGGATCGGCGACGCATACTTGCCTAAATGCAAGACATCTGTGACCCACGGGCAGATCAGACCATTGTAGTCTGACAGGCTTGCTTTTGGCTCGATCTAGATTCTGCGAGGTGGATAAGTATAGAAGTTAGATGCTGATAAAGTAGAACTAGTTACTTTGTGTTTAATGAACCCTGTCCTACCACTGCCTGGGGCAGAAGGTTATAAAGGACGTCTTTTATATATTCAGCGCTTAACGAATATGTTTGATCCCTGGACTGCTCTACGTAGAAGTACATTCAAGTTGGAATGCTTCGACTACCATGATTGGGCCAAGTCAACTGTGTTGAGATTCATGGCTTGCTCAGGCATCTCCAGGCATTAAATGCCCGCTTCGCCAAAGCATGAAGCTCATGATCAGCATTCAACCTACC